CACACGCTCAAAGCCTCACCAGAAAGCGGCGCGAAGAGCCCTGCTCGCGTTCCCCGGAGCAGCCACAGGCCTGTGTCACTCGAGCGTAGCGTTGACGCGCGTCACCTATCGCTGATGACTTCAGCTGCAGCGATACCTACGCAACACGAGACGCTTAACGCGCGTCGTAGAGAAACACTGCGTCTTATGTGAATAGGCACACGAGTGCTCATGAGAGCTCACGCGCGACGATGGTGTAACGGTTAGCGTACCAAACTGTTGTACCCAAGTTGGCGGGATCAAACCCGATCGAAGCCGTGGATTTACGAGCGAACTTCGTACGCCTTCCTTCGGAGGGGAAGTAAATCCGGCTGTCCCATGTTAGTATATTTACTTGCACGTAAAAGAGCCTCAAACCCACTGAGCTAAATTGAAATCGCCTGCTACGCCTCCCAAGAAATACCTCCTTTCTCTGCTAGTTGGTGAAAGGAGCGTAGCGAAATTTGCGAGGTCAGACGGAAGAGCAGGCCTGAGTCTCGCCACGTAAAATAAGGCATTAATTCAATTCAATTCATGGCGACGTACGGTATTACCAACGCGCGCCCCCTAGCGGGCGCGTCAAGCATCGACGCAGCTGACGTCATCAGCGTTAGGTGACAGCGTTAGGAGAAGCGAGCTTAGGCTTCGTGCCCCGCTTTCTGGTGTGGCTTTGAACGTGTGACACAGGCCTGGGATCAGATGCAGGGACCACAGGGGCGGAGCCAGAAAGGATTTTCTAGGGGAGGAGCACTTATTTCATACTGAACCCACTTTCACATAAATATTTTTGAAAAGATAAAACTGTCTATTTTAAATTATTAACGCGAAGTAACACATTAGTCATTCTACAACAGCATGTTCTTCTAATAATTTGTTACAGGTACGGCATACGTAATAAATTGGTAATTAAAAACATATCGAATTTGAATATTAAAATTTGGTGACTAGTTTCGCGTCAGCAAGAGAAGGAAATTTCAACTCAACGCAATATGTTTGATGGCTAACAAAAGTGCAGTTTATGTTATATTCAATATGTTGATTCATATTTCTTCAGTTTTAAAATTTACGAGCATTTCTTTTTTCAGACTTTTACGAGATAACATTGCCTACAAAAATTGTTTCTCGGTCGTGAAGTTTACATTAGAGATTACAGGTTCTCTGTACAGGAAAGTGTGGACCAATTTATAATTGATGTTGTGTGCTCGAATTCAGTCTCGAGGAATACGAATGCTTGCTCCCCGACAGCTGTGCTTCGATGTGAAAAGTTCTTAAAAACGGTTGTTTTTCTTCAATTGCGTGTATTTAACATCCTAAAACTAAAGCTTGTTAATAAATATTTTTATTTCCGACTCGTGATTCAGTAACAGTACTCTAAGATTAATATTTTAGGTTAACGTTTACAAAGTTATCTAAGCAACGATCATATGAAAATCATAATAAATAAAGCATTATTGTTTGTTCGGGAGCAACCCAGGTAATTCCAGAAATTGTAGTTATTATAAATTAAAATTATTAACATGCTATAATACCAAAACAACAAGGCTTATCTAGCAAAGTTCTATGCAGCTATTTGTGTGAACTCTTAGATTTTACCTTGTCTCTGTACTCCGCGCGGAATCAACGGCTTCTCCTTAAAACATTGGGTCAAGACATGGCCTTAGCACTCTAATTTATCTGTAAGTAGGTCGCACGCAATGTCAGTCAACGACTCGTGAACTTCATGCAAATCTGTGCATGAGCTCTACCTGCCTCGAACCCCAGACTCTTGGTACAAGAGTCTTGCGTCATTGTTATGGGTCATGGCGTTTGTCGTGACTGGTCAGCAGATGAAGATTTTGTGGTTACGGCACGAAAGACGAGTTGTCGGTCAAAAGATATGATATTCGTAATAAACCTACATGTCAAATCGATTACGCAGAATAACCGCGCTATTAAGGATATCGAATAAAAACTTTCTCCTGAAAGCATTCAAGCGAAGTGTTCATTTTGAAATACGGTATGAGCAAGAGCAAGAAATACCTCATACGATGAGTTAGTGTTGCAGAAAAAAAAGAAGATTAATGATTGTTACAAATGAACGTAGAACATGGGTTTTGTGACGCTAAAAGTTATTTTCTGAAAGGTGTTTAACAGAATCTGTCATAATATTGTGTGCGAAGTCAAAATTACTTGATCTTAAAGTCCGCTAAGAGATAGAGAATTTCAGTTGCATTTACGACGTGAACTACACCATAAATCAATGTATTCCATGAGAATGAATCATTCCATTTCGTTCTCATGAAATTGCGCAATATCATCACTTATATAATATGTGATTAATAAGTGTAAAATTCAATGAGCAGTTACGGTAATATTAAGGTTGATTAACGAACGTGTTTGAGTAACGTATTTTAATTTGCTTTACTTCGGTAAATATATAGTTAACACCATCTCTTACAAGAGGATAATGCAGTAGAAACAATTCATCATCATCAAACGATCACATTTTTGGTCAATAAATGGAATGATTAAACGTTTTAAATTAGATTATTAGAATCATTAGAAAAATTGTAAAGAATAACTACCGATATTTACCAATGAAAATTCTCACTAAGTAACGACCATCACTCATCAGGTTTCGTTAAGTCTTTTTATCCCCGCATAAACAGTATATATGATCGCCTTCATAACAAGAAAATGCGCCCGCACACGAAATGCTTTCTGCAGAAACGGATTAATTTGTGTGTCTAATACTAAAAGTATCTGTTCTCGTAGTATAATAGGTTGTCACGTTCCCTTATTAGCCGGATATTAAGAACGTCATGTTGAGCCACAGAATCTGTGACGAACTGATCTCGTAAGATAAAACATGTGTCTCACTCCTGGAACGAAATGGGGCTTAAATCCATGTTAGTCCAACAAACCATGTAGTTGGATGAAGCAAGAACGATAACAGCGTTACCTAATTTACGTCAGTGTGCAACATTGATTTATCGCCCGTAAACAACACCGCAAATGTTGCGAGTGTGCAACGGAAGCTTCGAAGAAGGCAGCAGCTAGTTTCGGATTTTCGACACCTGTTAACGCTAGGACTGCGCAAGGAGACTGCCGTTAAACTCACGCGTATTGATGTGGCCCATTATTCTCTAAAATTATTTTCGTAGAGTATATTCCTTTCGAGTTACTGTGAATTGGGCATCGTATGGCATTTTGCTGTTTTTACCGTTCATTGTAAGTTATATAATAGCAACCTAAAAATGAAAAGATTGCTTTGGTTTCAGCAACCTCTCTTCCCTCCGCAGCCCGCTGTACCAAAAACTAATTATGGTGTGTTATTTTTTGACGCCCACGATACGAAATGTTTATTAGGAAGTGTTATGTCAGGTACGTAAATCGCATATCGCAGGCAATTGTTTTTTCTATGGGTAGTATATCTAGAATACCCAGAATATGATAACCCGTCAAGATTAGCTTCCTTCTGAAAAAGGCAAGCATATTTGCACCCCCGAAACTAAAATTAAAAAAAAAAAATACAACCATCTGAATAAACCGAAGCAGTTTTGTGTGCTTGTTTTGTGTAATAAATATGTTTGTAATAGCCATTCATAAAAAATGTAGTGTACGCAATGTTTTGAAGCTGATCACTCTGAATAGTTTTTGTCGAATGCATTCAAAATTTTGTTTTGTATTAAATGTTCTTAAGCATTTGTTACAGTTTTTCATTTTTACTAATGATATTATTAAAATTACTAGCTTCAATTGTAATTGATAAGTAATTAAATTATCACTTTCGTAATAAGAATAGTTTATAGTAATGGTTATATACCGAACTCTCTCCCTTTGAAATAGAAGTTACAAAAAAAAGCTCCGGGGTCCAAGTATTAAATAGCGCTGTTGACGTCGATTACCTCAGATGAAATTTTGAAACCGAGTGTTTTTGATGCGCCGCTTCCCCGGTTTTCGAATTCTTCAATCGGAATAAAAATACAGATTCAAGAGAGAAAAGTCACACAGTGTGTGTGATATATTCTTCCAAACACGATAATATCTTCACCAACGCAATAGGAATATCTCTGTCACTTCAGTGCCTGTCACTGGAAGGTCCTATGGGTCGAGACCCGACAGTGACAGGATTTTCGATACTAGCTAGATAGCTGGATCGTATTCAGACGCTGTCTGGAGGAGAATTCTCGCGGTCGGCTGCTCTGATCGGTTACTTTCCGTGGTTTCTCAGCTCAACGCCAGGCGAATGCAGGAGCAGTGCCATAACAAACGGGCCACGGACCGCGCGATTCGAATACGTCTTCAACAAACTAGCAGTCTTCCTCTTCCTTGTTCTATCCTCATCCCTTACTGACACAACCTGACATGCCTTACATACACTACCACACGTGTCGGGAGCACGGAGCTTGCCCCGCTGGTGAGAGAGAACTGATTGAGGAAAATCTCGCAAGCCAACCTGTAGGTCGGCGCCGGATCTCGTCATCCAGCTGAGGAAGATTACCTCCCGGGCCACCTTCGGGGATAAAACGTGCACTACACTTGCGAAACTAATGGCAGCCTTTGACGCTTCCGAAAACACTAATAAATCAGCATTGTAGGCTTTCACGGCCGGAGTCAATATTCATCATGTCTTCCGGGCTGATGGGCCGTGGTCCAATTGGCTTTGGGATGCCAAACGTTTCGCCCACGACTGCGGTGGGCATCTTCAGTGGCGAGGTCTCGGGCGAAGCACCGGCCCGGACACTTCGCCCGAGACCTCGCCACTGAAGATGCCCACCGCAGTCGTGGGCGAAACGTTTGGCATCCCAAAGCCAATTGGACCACGGCCCATCAGCCCGGAAGACATGATGAATACTAATAAATCAGTCATCAATGTTATACAATTGACATCTTTCGTATTTCAAACAGGGCCGTCGCGCGCTGATTTGCCACCCTGGTGCAAGTACATTTTGCCGCCTTCAAAAGGAGTACTTTAATTATATATTTTAAATAGTAGGAATGTTTAGTTGTTTAAAATAGTTAATTTAGTGAAGTGTTGTTACAATGTTTTTAAATAGTAAATAATATCTATGTACAATATAAAATAAGACACATTTCCAACTTTCAAACTTACAAATTTTTAATGAAATTTTCTAAATAAATATTGTTGCAGATTTCACGTTCAGTTGATATCATTGCCAGATCTGTTAATATTTCTTGTGACATGGTTGAGTAGGACGTTTTTGACTAATAATTTTTAATTTTGAAAATGATACTTCTTTTGTGTGTTAGGGAATGGCCCAGTTAGGTTATTACATTATCGCCTTAAGAAGATCTTTTTAACATATGAATTCTAATATTAAAATTAGTAATGATTCTGAATGGAGAAATTTCGTGATTATATTTAGTTCATCAGCGAGTTCTATTGCTTTTTTATCTTTGAGACTATCTGTATCAGTTTCATCGGCCTTTTTAAATTATAGATCCATGCATTTTTTAATAGGTCTGATTTTATTTATTTCTGCTACTTTGTTGAAGACATCTTCAAAATGAAACGCATCACTTCGCTTTTTAAGCAATTCCAACCTTACCTCTAATTGATGAAACTGTAGTGTCAATAATTGTCGCCTATGCGGAAATGTGGTTCATACGGTATGCGGAAATTGTATTTTGGATCATTTGTACTCTCATCGTTATGTTCAACTGAACATGGTTTTCGTTTTTCGCCTGTATGTGGGTGGGGCGGGGGGGGGGGTCTGCATCTACATTGCGCGAATTAGCAAGCTCAGTTGCATTTCATTAAAATTATCGCGACGTTTAAATGTTCCTTTTAAGAAGACAGGATCCTTTGAAATATGTGGGACTCGACAGACAAAATTACATCAAAATCTGAGATGGAATCGCAAAGTACTTTTCTAATATTTGCTTCAAATGATCCTTTTTTTAACCTCCAGAGCAACATTTGCTTTACATATTCAAACAGTCCACCCTAACTCAGAAACTGTTTCAGATGTCAAAATTGTGGAAGGACATTTCTGTGTCAAAATGATGCTGTTTCTTTTGCCATCTTTCATGGCGTCTCAAGCTAAGACCGCCCTGATTGGGTGCCACCCTGCATTTTTACAGAATCAAAAGTAAAAATGCGTCCAAAAGTTTTTTGAGTACCACTATGACTGACACTGCTCTAAGCAGTGAAACACAACTTTGGTAAAACTAGTGATTTTAAAACAGCTCATTTTCTCGAAATTTTCGAACATTAGCGAAGGCCAGCGTCGCTAAACGAATTCCTTAATTACGCTATGTGAAGTCATGGAGGTTTAGCGAATTCGAGACTTCCGAGTTCCTGATTGAGTGACGTCTAGGAATCCCTGGATCTAACGGCTTAGAGTCCCTGGCCGTCAGGACTGGCCGTCAGGACTGGCCGTCAGGACTGTCTTCGACGTGACAGGTCGTGATATAAATAATAACGGAGGATTACTCCGTGCCATGCGCCCAACAAGGTTACAGAGACACGTTGCATCGACGAAAACGCAACATTTTTTTTTTAATTTCAAAAATCCAGAAAGTTTAACGACAATGAGATTTGAACCATTTTAAAGCGTTCTTTATTCTATCTTAGAAATAATAAAATTGAGGCCGTTTTTGGGAATTGTTTTTTTCTCTTCATAAATTGCAATAAATTCAATCCGAAATTGCATGAAAACTACTTTTTTAAGAAAAAGTTTGATTTTCCTTAAAGATCTAGTTTTTTGAACTAATTTAATTTATGGCACAAGTCTCTACTATCAGTATTGTACACTTGCAGTGATACGTTTTGCAATTTTCGAAAATTCAAAAAGTTTTATTTTGCAATGTGCACCATAGGATTAACACTATTTTTAAATCTTCGTTTATGAGGAGAAAATGGAGTCGTTTTTGAGAAAATAATTGTTTAATATTGCTTATGTTTCGTGCAAAGTTATATTACCTAAAAATTGTACTTGGCTATATTTCAAGATCTGCCTTTCAGCAAGATTTTATTAAGAAAAATGTCTGTCTTCAATATATTAGTTTTAGAAAGTCGCCGTAAAAATGTCAAACTTTGTCAATTCTCGAAAAAATAGGAACATCAACAAATATGAGATCTGCACAGTTCTATTAGGAGTTCACTATTTAAGGACAATGTTTCATAAAAAATTGAAGTCGTTCTTGAAGAAAATTCGAAATCGTCGAGTCTTCACGTAAAGTACTGCAAAACATTGACATATCCGTTTCAAACTCGCAAGGCCTCGCAGTTCCTCCAAAGCGATGAGGGAATATCAATTTTCAAGAAATCGTCTTGACAATGCCGCCCTATAAATTGTTCTATTTATTTAATGTGATCGGTAAATTATGACGTTTTGTATGTATGGTTATACTTCTACGTAGGTTACTAACTCGCAGGATTAAAAATGTATTGTTCTTTGATATATTGTATATTACAAACTTTGTTTTTGTTTCATTGAAAGTTTTAAGTAAGTATTCTAGTTTTTTGCCCTGGTTCAGTGCACCTGTCGCACCAGTGTCACGACAGCGCTGATTTCAAACATATTTCTCTTATCTCAATGTAGCTCTCGGCGAGCTGATTTATTATATAATCTTCCAATACAGATACCTATTCGTAATAATTTTCAGAAGGATGCTTGATGAAGCATGACCACTACCGTCCTGCAGAATCAGCCAGCCGTTGGCGTCCTAACTTTCCTTCTGCTAAAAACTTGTCCACTCTGACTCCATCCTAAGCGGATTTCACGCCAAAGTTCGTCGCAAGCGGAGAAAGACGTCAGGCATAATCGTGAGATCGACAGATCTATCACGGACATCACGTATTTTCAATTAAAAAGGATTACAAAGAAGGTGAGTAAATATTAAGTTTATGTAAAGTATTCAAATTTTAAAATGTATGGAGAATGTCCATTGTTAACATTGTTCTACGTGATATTCTTGTTATGCTGTGTTCCGTACCATTGAGCCCCAATGAAGTCTCAAAAATGCGAACCACATCTTGCCAGTACTGAAATAAATAACGAAGTCGCCAGTATACAAAAACTGTGTGTATTGCAAGGATATCCCAAATCTTTCACGGCGAAAAGCCTGTTCATGTGTTTAAAACTTAAGCTTAACTTGTGTGATTTGGGGGGAAATTTACTTTCTCACTGTTTGTTTCAAAGAAATATTTGCCCCGCGTTTAGTAGTTTAGTGTTTTTCAGTACGTAAAATTCATTTATAAAATTCACTTTTTGCTTTCATTACTTCTTCACTTTAGTCAGGTAGTTTTTCCAACGTATTGCGTGTAGAGACCACTGACGTTGCCACAGACATTTCCCATTCGCACGCATGTGTGTGAGTTTCCCATGAGATGTTCTGATTTGTTCAAAACATTGCTACCAGACCACAACTCATTCAATGTTTCCGTGAAGGTTGGAAAAATGGTTATACAAATATTTTTTTCAGTGTTCCTGATAAGCGCAAGTAAGAGAAACATATTACATAGTTGGCATGAAGCTTCCGTGTGAATATTGCAACAATTGTTCATTATTGCAGAACAAGAGTGTTTTAGATTTCACGTTACAGACTTCTAAAAGATATTTAGATGCAAGGAATTAGTCTGTATTACAATGAAGAATAATGTATGCCAGCATTCAATCTAACAAGTACTGAAGTTCCGTCACAACATTCAAATTAAACTTATTTTATTAGACTGAAAGAGCATTATTTACAAAATGTTTAAATAAGTATTAACATGTTCTGTTTGTGTATTTAAGGTCGAATAAACATCTAGGTTATTAGCGATCACTATTACATTTAACGGTATGCTAACTGTGAAGATAACATAATATGGTGATAATAGGGGGACAAAGGACGAACACAAATACAACCACACCCGAGGAGAAACTCGAACCCGCGATCCTTCGGTTCGAGATCGCTACGGCACAACTGCCTTGACGATCTCGGCCATCCGGACCGGCAACATGTTCATTAGAAAGTTCATTTACATTAACAGCAAAAACATAGGACCTATTAGGCAAATTTTGGTAATATTTGGCTAGAATGTAGAATGCCGTAGAAAATGCTTCATTCCATTGCGTAGGGATCCCTACTAGTTCCATTAATGAAGACAAGACTCAACAAATAATCAACATATACCTTGTCACAAAACACTTTCTGAATAAAGTAATTTATTTCCATTGATCCAGCTTGTACTAAATCGTCGAGAGTTTGTTTCAAAAGGGCACACAAAAAGAGAGCGAGAAAGGTTTCTAGTTCCTCGCAAAGCATGACCGTTTTCTTCGCACCTCGATCTCTATCAAAACTCAGAACAAATTAGCTTAATTGCTGCGCGGAAGGCCAAGGTAACTGAAAGTCTTTACACTCGGCTCCGTCCTGCCAGGAAAGTGACTCAACTCGAAACGAAAACGAAACACAAGAGAACGTGAGCGATGTCCGAGGTGAACTGCGCGGCGGTGAGGGTTCCTTCAGATCCGCAGATTCGTAACCGGAACCCGCAACTTGCGCGTCGTCCTCGTCCGTGTTACGCAACTCGTCACGCAGACAATGGTGCACGTGAATCACGTCAGAACGGTCACTCATCCGACGAGTATTCCGCCCCGCCCACGCCATTGTAACGACGCTCGGTTTCCCCTAATCGGGCAGTCGTACACTCGCCGAGGAACGCCGACGGTTTAGATCGCGTTTTCCCCGACGACGCAGCGGCGCGGTGCAGCCAGCCAGTCATTTGTTTCGAGGACAATGGTAAAACATTCCTTCCGATTGTGACGGCTACCCGGCCGACGAATTCATTATAAATGTATTACGTAGACTGATCGGCAGCGTTCACAGAACGAGTTACTGTTGACAATGAACTTCAATATTGAATAAGTTTTTAGGAAGTCCCCGAACATGATACGTTGAAGAGGTAGTATATAACACTATTGTGTAGTGGTTTGATTATCAAAGAAATAATGAATTGGTTAGAGAAGTTTTTAAGTGGTAGTATCAACATACGTCTGTTTGTCTCTAATAATGTTATGTTTATGGCAATGTTCTAGTTTCTCGTATGCTTTTCAAGATGAGCGGTAATAGCTCTGCATCACACGATTGCAAAATAGTCAACCTCTAAATAGGACTCGAAAAATAGGACCTCGGGTTGTTGATAATTTTCCTTATTTTTATCGATGAATGTACTCGAATCGAATTCTTTCAATTAAAAAAAACAGTTATCTCATTAGTTACAAAATAATAACTAGTATCTTTGTTCATACGTAACGGTTCTCAAAATAATTACCTATTTGAATTATCAAATCGTAATTAGAACATTACAACACTCGATTGTATCTTTAAATGAAATTCAAGTAAATGTTGTCGATGGGATGGCTCATTTAATGAATAAGATTTGGTAACATGAAAACCAGGGTGTAGATAAAATTTGACGACGAATCTGATCATCTGATATTTACGAGTGGAGTTATTCATCCGATATCTCAGTACCTGAGAAAAAAACATTGAGTGAATGAATCACAACCAGTAATGAATTGATGCAATAGGTAACGAAACTACTAGTACAGTGCAACCTATACATCAGTGACATAATAATTCCAGGCTAATGATCTTTAATGAGTTGATGTCTCTGGCGATGATTATGACGGTAAATAAAATGCATAGTAGATATATTCACCCAAAAAGGTGGTCATTACTTTCTTTTCATAAGACAGTTAACAGACATATTACGAGGAAGAGATAAAAAGATGAAAGTTAGTTGGAAACTTCACTGTGAGAAACGTGGTGTGTTGTGTGTATTATATATATATATATATATATATATATAATTTATATTATATATATATATGTAATATGTTATAATATTAAAATTATGAATGGTTCAATCTCGAACATTTTTGGGTCTGAACATTTCTTAGCTCGCACTGGAATAGTCTCATACATTTTCTTTTAGTTACCTGACAAACCTTAATGTAGATACCCCGCCAATTTGAAGGGACCTCACCAAACACCACCGAAAGAAATTGTATTTATTTTTAATTAAATAATTATTAATTTATATTTATTGATTAGAGTAGCAGATAAATTTTAGCTTACTACACATTTGTACAAAGATTAGATAATTACCAGGAAATAAGGAATATTAGTTAGTTGAAAAAAGAATAAGTAAGAAACATGAAAATAACCTTTAAATTTTCCACCAAGTTTGAAAATGGTAAAATTTATTATATACTACCTTATTTTTTGGTGAAAGAACCAAATAACCAAATCCTATTAAAAATTTGGAAGGAAATGTTAAGAACCTGAAAACAACCTAACCAGCAGATGCAGACTTGAGCGTGTGTGGGTAAGTGGTTCCTCCTCTAGTACCTACCAACATGCTGACACGCCCCTCTACCTGGGCGAGGACACCTCATCTGAGAACTATTCAGCTCTTTTTAATTCTGCTAGCGCGAACATTCTGACCTTTCCTTTTTCCGAAATCGTTCCGCCGCCGTACACCAAGTGAAACGTGTATCATCCAAGGAAGGCTAACTTAAGTTACGACCCACTACACAAAGTACACTACTACTCTTAACTCTTCCGTAGCTCACACTTCCACTCAGCCACTTCAACGCTGGTACTCACTCCTAATCTTAAGGTTTCATTTATCCTCAAAACCGGCCGCAGTTTCATTCATCCACTCCTAACCCTAATAGTCTGACTCAGCGCCGGGGTCACACGTACTGAGACCACGCCGAATATCTGCAGGTAAACGCCCGGTCCTACAGCCCGACTCGTTTGTCGCAATTTCTTTTTAAAGTGCTTCTCCTTGTATACGCAATATTCAGCTGTCAGCGCCGAAATTAATATTTTTACGAAAATTTTGGCACGTCCGTAGGTGGTGCTTTAAACTTATGATATTCGAGGCTTCACTTTCTTTGTCGTCTATCTCGAGAAACTATGCGATACTGATTTGAGTTTATTTGCACCTGTTGCATTTCTTTTAAAGTGTTTCTCCTTGTATACGCAATCAGCTGTCAGCGCCGAAATTAATATTTTCGAAATTTGGCACCGTAATGCGGTGGGTTGCTTTTAAAACATATAAATGTATCGAGAGCTTCCATTTCTTTGTCTCTATCTCGAGAAACTATGCGTCTGATTGGAGTTTAGTTTGCACTTGTGAATTATGTTTTTAAAAATGTGTTCTCCTTGTATACGCAATATCAGCTGGTTCAGCGCCGAAAATTAATATTTTTCGAATTTGGCACGTAATGGTGGCTGCGCTTTAAACTGATGATTTTCGAGCTTCACTCTTCATTAGTCGTCTATCTCAGAAAAACTATGTTCGTTGCTCATTGGAGTTTAGTTGTACCTGTGAAATTTCTTTTAAATTTTCTCTTTGTATACCCGCAATATCAGCTGTCAGCGACCGAATTAAATTTTTTCGAAATTTGGAACTAAGGCGGGGGGTGCTTTAAACTTGAATTTCGAGCGTCACATTCTTTGAAATCGTCTTATCTTCGGAAACTATTGCGTCTGATTGGAGTTTGTTTCACCTTTCTGAATTCTTTTTAAAGTGTTCTCCTTGTAAACGTAATATCAGCTGTCAGCGCCGCAAGATTAAGCTTATTTTTCGAAATTTGGCACGTCAGGGGGAGGTGGCTTTAAACTTGATGATTTCGAGGGCTTCACTCTTGGCTTAGTCGTCTATCTCGAGAACTATGCGTCTGATTGGAGTTATAGTTTGCACCTGTGAATTTGTTTTAAAGTGACATTCTCCTTGTAGTGACGCAATATCAGCTGTCAGCGCCGAAATTAATATTTTTCGGAAAATGTGGCACCTAAGGGGAGGTTTCTTTAAACTCGATGATT